CTATCAAGAGTTTAAGTCAACAATAAAAGATGGGAAGTTTTTGCATGCTATTCATCATTCCAAAATTACTGCACATGGTCACAGTGATCTCTTGTGCTCACACTCACACATAACATCAATATCAGACTTGTCTTTTCCCAGAAAGGAATCTGAAACAAGGAGAAAAACCCCTGCTACTGTCCTTTTTGATAGACATACACAAGCGACCATTCCCAGAGGGAGGAAGGTTTCAGGAACAACAGTAAATGTAGACAAAAAGTATCATGATGCAGAAGAAACAGATGCAGATGAATTTACATTATCACTTGTAGATTCATTTTCTAAGGATTGGTTATAGTGAAGAATGTGATTAGCCCACAGCAAAACTCTAATCCATAATTTGGAACAATTCACTAAGACCTTGCACATTTTTTTCATGTAAAGCAAATGCTTCAGCAATAATGAGGCAGGTAAACAAGACTGAATTGCAGACAATCTCTTGCAAATCACAACTCACATGACATTTTTGGATGCCACCAAAATGTCTATGGGATAAACTTAACATGTGTTCATACAGAAGTGTGAATGTGTGTCTGTACATGCAAAATACAGCCCTCCTAGTCCACCTGTTAGCATGCAAGAAAATGGGGGGCTGACATGTCAGACTCTTCTCTGGTCAAGTATCAGGGTGTTAAATACAAGGTGGAATCTAGAATTTATAGCATAGTACTTGAAAATGGACAAATGTTTACCATTGCATCTTTCATTTTTCTCTGGCAGCATTTCTTCAACTCCACTTTCTTTATCCTAGATGAAATTCTGTTTATGGTGAAATTTACTTTCCAAACACTACTCCTTAATGCCTTCCTGAAAAGCCTCCATCCTGCCTGAGACTAACCTATATTAAACATGCATCAAGTTTTAGCACAATTTGTCCCAAACTCACTTGGCTCCAAATTATTTTGGGATAAGATACTTGGGAATGAACAAATTTTAAGGTGGAAAGACAAAGAAGAGGTCATAGAATGGTTTGGGTTGAAAGGGACCTTAAAGATCATCTATCCCAACTCCTCAGCCATGGGCAGGGGCACCTTCCACTTGAACAGGTTGGTCAGGGCTCTGTCCAACCTGTCCTTGAACACTTCCAGGGATGGGCCATCCAGCTTCTCTGGGCAACCTGTTCCAGTGCCTCACCAGTTTACCTCTGAGTAAAGAATTACTTCCTCTCAACCTCTCATCTTTCACTTTAAAGCCATTCCCCCTTGTTCTATCACTATCTGCCCATGTAAAAAAAGTTTCCCTCTTTCTTGTAAGCCCCATTTGTAAGCTATGAGGTCTCCCTAGAGCCTTCTCTTCTCCAGCTTGAACAACCCCAACTCTCTCAGGAAAGGTGCTTCAGCCCTCCGAGCATCATCAAGAAGTGTTGTGCTTCTGCACATTTCAAATCAGTCTATGACCAGAGATAATTGGTTTCTTATGCCATGCTGTTCCCATGGCATGTCAAAACATATCCAATCAGTGTGTCCAACATCTTTGCAGAAGAGCACTTGTCACATTCAGTAACACAGCATAGAAACATAAAAATAGAAGCACAATTTTTTTTTCCACAAACAGCAGCAGGCCTGTTGTCCTAATTTACAAACTGACACGTTTCTTTGTGGAATAAATTGCCAAAGTCATTTACCAAAAAGTCAAAACTGATATAAGATTTAGTTATGTACTATCTATTGTTTCTGTAGTTTCCACACCACTACTCTTCCACTAAGATATTTTTTCATATTGAAGTAATTTGCAAGTTTCCGTAACTTTTTCCAGTTGCACTACACAATTCACACCCCCACCTGAAAAGTTGTATGGCAGACATCAGCCTTGGCTACTTCTTTAAAAGCACTTGCAAGTTTCCAGCAACACTGGTTCTCTCTCAGAATTGATTTCCTTGCTTTTAACCTTGGTGACAAAAACTAGATTTTAATGACTTTTTTATGACTTAAGGTAAAGCAGACCCTAAAAACTAAGTTCATGTGCCACTGAACTGCTATCCTCTCTGGAAATCAGGAGCTCAGAGGCTCCATTTCGCAGCTGTGATAAAGGTTTTGAATAGCAATATCTTTATCATGCATTTATTAGCTATGCAGCTGCATATTTAGCAAGCTAATGATACCCTGGTAAAATGAAACCACAGTAACACATTCAACACCTGTATTTGTCTCGAGACAGCAAACGAGATTGATAATTTTTTTACTTGAGAGACTGTCTTGATTAAATATGGCTTAGGGAGAACCTACTATAAGGTTGATAACTTTTTTAATTAAAGTCTTTAATTTTTACGTCTGAATGGACAAAATTTAGTTTATTGTTTAGTACCATAAACAGAGAGACAGAATACTTGATTTCATTCTTTGATTCCTACTTTACTTTTCAGCTCTAGAGAAACTTCAGATACACTGTGGTATTTTTCTTACCTTCCTGACTGAAAGCTCTTCCACCTGCTGTATCACAGTGAATTATGTCAGCATGTACTGATTAGAAGTGACATTGGTCTGGATGGGTCGGATCAAAAGCTTTGTTATGCTCAAAGGACACCAGGTGGTGGTGGAAGACTCCTAAGTAATATATTTGCATTCCTTACATTGTGACATTCATGTTGCCTTTCTCTTCAGGCTACCTTCTCTCCTTCAAGATCTGCACTGCTGAAAGCTTTGAGACATAAAAACAACAATAACTGGGTCTTCAAAAGCCTAGCCAGCATAAAACCCTGTTTCTAACAGTATTCTCAAGTGGACACCAGCAAGAAGGGTAAGAGTGAGCCAAGCATACACAAGTGCTTTTTTTCTGAGCAGTGTCCCTGATGCCAGCCAGGTAACAGTGGTGTACTCCATATCAACTGGATCATTCCCGGACACTCCATTTCCCAACCTGGCCCTTAGAAGCCTTTAATAAGCTTTACCAGACTACCGTTTTATGAAAACAAAGTCTAGTACACATCTCACTCTATCAGCTTAAAACAAGGCACTGCATCATTAACATTTAAATTTGACCTACTCTAATAAAGTTGCTATGAAAATTCACATTAAAGTCCTTGTATCACAAACTACAACAACCTATTTAGCATCTTAAGGAAACACAGTGTCACTTTTCCGAAGGCTTTGCAACATGAGCCATTTACTTTCCCCATTTTTGCTGGCTTTTATGCTACACCCCCAATTTCCCAACTTCCTGTCCTGTTTGGTCATACAGTTCGGAAAGAAAGGCTATTATTTCTACTTCTAACACAACATTCCTATAAAACATGCCAATATACCACATAAGACTGCAAAGCCTCTGGATAGTGTGATTAAAGAGTTTAACTGTAAAGGCAAAAGGGCATCATAATTCAGGGCAATCATAAAACTTCTTAGAAAATTGAGAACGACCCATAACACTAGCAGCTACAGAAAGCTCTACTATCTACAGGACTTTGAGAGCAAGAAATCAAATCAGGTATATATTAACTGACTTTTTTCAACACTCAAAGCAAACAAACAAGTTCAATCGTTGAGGTAACTTATTACTTCTGACAGTGAATTTTGATATGAATGAAATAATTAGGCAAAAGGTAAATATCAGCACTTGACATTTTTTGCTTCTATAAAAAAATAATTAAATTTTCCACTTAGATATTAGTTTCAATTTTCTCACAAATGTTATGAATATTTTTTTAAGGGGCATCCAATGTTTTTACTGTGATACACCACACTTTTTTGCAGGTGTTGAGTACCCTTGCATGCCCTGTTACAACTACCTGGCACAGCAGTGTCATTGGTATTTGTGAAGTTCATTTTCATCTGGCACCTCCAGAGCAATATACAGATTCCCTGGAATAAGAACTAGAAACAGAGGAAAAACTGCTACTGTTTGCAAATTTGCTTGCAAGGGCCAGCAGGCCAAGAGATGCTGCTCTCAGGAGAGTGCCTGGTAAAAATGACAAATTTCTATATTAACTCTGTAAGTCTTATGTTCAAACTCTGAAAGAGCATTTAAACCAAGGCAGTTGTTAGTAGCTCAAATAATTTTTAATAGTTCACCTGTGTTCTGCACTCTATGCCTGCTGTATTTCTTTGAATACTACAGATCTACAGTTGCTAACTATTATAAACTATAAAGCTTTCTTGTTACAGCTAGTTTCAAGCTGAAAACAAAATTAAAATCTCATCCAATAAAACTGATAACAGCAGGCCCACTGTTTTTATGACTAAAATGAAAAGCTTTATTCATATTGCAAAGCAGTCAGAGACAAGACAGGGTAAGCACCATTCTGAGAGGCTCTGCATTAACATAACATGAGGAGTCTCTGCACTAAAAAGCTGACAAGTCTAAATCATTTCAGGAATGTTTTTAGACATCTGGGGCACAGAATTCCACAGACTGAAGGAATATTGGATAGTGCAGAGAAAAACAAGGGAGGAGAGAAGTCAAGTGAATCCACTGCTACACAGAAGCTAAATATTAAGCAGAATCCCCCTGGGAGACAGTTTTCAGTAAAAAGACTTCAGTGAACACTGATTTAAAGCAACCATATGATTCAAAACTCACAGGTTTATGGTGAAATATTGTTCTGAAACTTCCTTAACAACAAAAGAGATTCAGAAATTCATCCTACTTTATAAACAAGTATCATTTTCATAGTACTTCTAGTGTGTTGAAGGCTTTCTCTACCATATCGCTCTGCATATTGAAGGGTTATAACTACACCTTTCCTCATGTGATCAATCAAGCATTTATTTTCCTTCTCTGGGAGGAAAAAAATTACGAGGATGAAAATGCTGAAAGAGATGCTTGGCCTTATTTGTCCATGGAGTGAAAAAAGTAACCATCGAATTGAAGTTCATTTTAAAAGTGCTAAAGAAGAATCATGGGTGTAAGAGAAAAAGCACAAGCATATGAAAGCAAACATATGCGTGTGTTCATGTTCACATACATGTTCTTATACACTGACTGCCATATATCAGTAATAAACTGTCTGAAAAGCAATAAGGACTAACCTCCACATTTTAGTGAAACTGTGCATCAGGCTCACACAGCGAGGCAGAGCTGGAGGTTTGAGTCCATCCATTTGAAGGAGGAGGGCAGGAACACCATACAGAACCAGGTATTTCACGTAAAAAAACAGTACTTGAGCTAGAGCCAGGCCACCTAAAAGAAAAAAATAAACATACCTTAAACAAGGTCTGAAATATTTTTAAAACCTGTTAATACTGACTACTTCCAAACAACAATTATTCAAAGAACTAAGACAAGCATCATCAGTTGATGGGATAGACACCAGCTACTTTTGCAACAGCCACAGGACGAAAGCACATGCCCTTATGACATTAGGCACACACACAAAATAATACCATCATTCCAATATGAAGGTACAAGTATGTATCTGTAGTTCCACCTTCAAAAATCTCTGGACTGTGAGTGTTGCTATGAAAAAAATAAATACTGACTTGAGTTAAAATCAGAACATACTGATATAAGCAATGAACATGTACTACAGAGAAAATGAAATTTATCTTTGTAAAAAAAAAATACCAAAAAAACAAAAAACAAACAAACAACCACTCTACACTTTTTCTTACAGAACAGATATAAACAATGGTTATCATTGCAGCTTATCCTGACAGCCCCACAAACATCCTAAGATTAAGATTAAGTTTCCCACAAACATCCTAAGATTAAGTTCCCAGAAAATACCCTCTACAAGGTCCCTTCTGCTGCAGCCAAGGCATAGAAGACTGGAACTCCACTTGAGATAATGCTTAAAGCATATTTCAATTTTTAAACCCACAGGACAAAGGTCTCCTTAAGGTGCTCTAGCTACCTGATTTCCAAAGGAGAAATTTTGGCACTGTGTTTGCCCACGATTTAACCTCAGAGTATGGCACAAAATGTAGCATCTTGCACAGGTGTGAGGTGAAAATCATACATATTCTCAGAGTCATTACTCATGCAAGTAACAACCTTTGAATGTATTACAAAGGAAGATGATTCATATTAATATTCTAAATGTTTTCTGTTGAACAAAATGGCATTGACCAATAATCATAAGTAGAAAGCCAGTAAAAAGCAGAGGTTGACACATTTACAGAAACTGGTGAGTTCATTCCTAAAAGACCCAACTTTGGTGAACTTTTCCATCTAACTGACAATTTACAAAAGCAAAATCTCACCACAAAGAAGGGAAACTAAAATTATTATACTTCAGTAGAGAAAAAAAATTATATAATGCAATTTTTACATTTCCTTTCATTCTAGTGTTCTGCTTTGCCTCAGTCATATTAACTAATTTGACTGAAGCACTTTAGATATTTAGCCTAATTTTAAATCCTTCCAGCAGACTTTCCTTGGAGACAAAGTTTTCAATCTGACTGCAGCAGTACAAGTCCATGAACATTTAAATAATCTCCCTTTTCTGGGTGCAAAACATCCCTTTTGCATTCTGCTGACTAATGAGTATACTATGGATGACAACTAAAAGTTAAACATTAAAAATTCATCTACTGTATAGCAACCTAGAGTGAAATTCTGGCACTAATGATGTAAAATGCAAAACTCCTGCTGGCTTACACATGGCCAGTATTTTGCTACTACAATCCAACATTTTTAGTTTTAATATTATGACCCATGCACATTATAGGAAACAGTTGTGACATACAAGATAAAAACTGATGTTAGAACAAAATACCAAGACATGAAACTTATGTTTTTTTACTTCAGGGGAGCAGCCATCTAGTTTTCAATAGCATTTTCCCCCAGAGGGAAACAAATAATCAGAAGCACAATTTGGATACTAGTCAATTAGCTCCACATTAGATTACTGCTAAATCATCTATACCATCAACTTTCTGCTTTAATTCCCATCTCATTCAGAGTCTCATTTCTTTTCTGGCAAATTTCATTGGAGAGCTGAACACCGACACCCACACAAACCAATTATGAAGAGCACAGCTGCCCGTGCAGTAGTAAAATTCAAAATCCTTTGGCTGTGCTTGATGGAAAGATATTTAGACACAGAATTCCACTCTCTTGAGACTCGAAAATCAATACATTTGATTTTAAATACAAAGATGAAAGATTCTGAGTTCTCAGATACAAAGATAGGCAAGTTTTAGAAAAAAAGGCATTTTCACCCATCTCCTATAACACCCATGTAAGTTGTCATTACTGTAAGGGACAGACAGCTCAGTAGCAGTGGTATCTTAAACACAGACATCACATAACCAATCACTACCTGGCACGCACGAGCTGTTCTGCGAGTGGCAATTTTAAGAGTCACAATAACAACAACGCAAAGGTCCCTGTCAAAATACATAGATTAAGTTCTCATTGGTTTTGAACTCATCCCAGAAGTATGACAGTTCTGGACACACATGGAAAGCTAAGGGCAAGATTCACAGCCATGCACAACAGCTGGATTGCATCAGTAACAGGCACAGCCTTTAAATCTTCTTGCACATCCGAGACATTCCAGCTGCTTTGCATTTGCTCCATTCTAGTACAAAGCAGCCAGAATACACTGCTTCACCTGGTTTAAAAACATGAAATCAAAAACAATTTTAAGATCAATGCCAAATTTCTCAAATTCATTAACACTATCATGTAATTTGTTCTCCAGCATTTGATAGAAAGCTTAAGAACTCGTCCTCACACATGACCATTATCTTAAATTGGAAACAAGCTATATTAAGTGTATATTAAAACACATCTAAGGGAAAAAGTATTATCTTTTCCCCAAAATAGATTATCTTTTCCCCAAAATAAATTAGTTCAAAGGATTCAGAGTCAAGGTTAATTATTTTTTTAAAATAGAAATGTGTTAAGGGATAAAATAGTTAAAAGTATCCAATCTTGACCCCATATACTTCAACAGTCAAGCTGTTTGAAGTCCCAGATTAAAGTAAATTACTTTTATAGAAGTTGGTATTTTCAATTTATCATCTTGTAATCCTCAAAACATTCTAGGTTTTCCTATGCTTTAAAAATGTATTTATAGACCTTAATATTTTCCTTAACCTTAAATTTACCGCAAAACTGTATTTCCTAAGTTTCATAGAGTTTAGTTTCAAGGATAATTAGAATTTAGAATATTCACAAGTTTTAATTTGTTTTAGTCTACATATTCTCAGAACTCTGCCTAGTATTTTTTTGACAGAAGTTAACAAATACCAAGCAACAAAATACTTGGATCCAGGTATTACAAACCATACTTGGCATTTTTCTGTCCATAAACTATCACCATCACCAAAACTCACGGTCAACTGTAACTTAGAAGGCAATTTTATTATGAGCACATCACAACTTGACCATTTTTGCAGCTACATTGACCCTATGACATTACTGACTGCAGATGCTTGTTTCTGTCAAGTATTAGGACAGGTTCAACTAGAAAACAGAGATAAATATGCAGTCACATTTCAAAAGAGTTACTGACACATGGTAGAAATCTAATAGGAAGCAGAGATTTATAACAGCTCAGAATTTGGGGCTGCATCATCAAGTTCAAAATATCCCAGCCTTCCAGTAGCACACAAGAAGCATGTGTATGGAGCAGTGGCAGGAAAGTAAATACCACAGTGTTTGTCCTGGAGGCTAAGTGCTTATTTTTAGACAAAGCTAAATGGACATAAAGATCCCAGAATGAAATTACTTACACAAGACTAAACAGAGCTGTCAAGGGACTCTCAGTCAAGGCATAGACAGTTCTTCCAGGTTAAAGAAAACCAGAAGGTTTTTCAAGCACACACATGCCTTAAAGGCACCTACCTTGAATATTCCCAAGGTCTTTGAGAAACCTGGTCTAGTGGAAGGTGTGTTTCTTCACAGTGGCTAGTATGGGGCTGTGTTTTGGACTTGTGCTGAACATAGAGCTGATGAAAACACAAGGATGTTTTCATTACTGCTGAGCAGGGCTTAGCAAGTCAAGGCCTTTTCTGCTCCTCACCCTACCAGCAAGAAGGCTGGAGCGGTACAAGGATTTGGGGAGGGGAGGGGACACAGCCATGACAGATGACACAAACTGACCAAAGGGATATGCCATACCATATGCTCATGGCTCAGCATATATAGCTGAGGGAAGAAGAAAGAGGGGATGCTCCTGGTGGTGGTGTTTGTCTTCCAAAGTAACCACTGCGCATGATGGAGCCCTGCTTTCCTGAAGATGGTTGAACACCTGTCTGCCCATAGAAGCAGTGAATTAGTTCCTTGTTTTGCTTTGCTTGCACATGCAGCTTTTGCTTTATTAAACTGTCTTTATCTCAGCCTATAAGTTTTCTCAGTTTTATCCTTCCAATTGTCTTCCCATCCCACCGCAAAAGGAGTGAGCAGCTGTGTGGTGCTCAGTTTCTGTCTGGAGTTAAGCCACAACACACGAGTAAAAAAAGTAGTCATAGAAGTAGGTTAATTAACAATACTATCTAGAAGTTTATCCTGCAGAAAAGATTAGAAAAAAATTTACTTTCCCAGACACACACTTCTTTATCTAAAACAATTAACTACTTAATATTTTAGAAAATAAAATCTAAGACTTCTGATTCATGTTCATATTTCCAGTTTTCAAAACAGACATCAAGATGCCAAATATTTTATCAGTTTCTCCCTATAATCTTGTAGGATGAAAGAAGTCTCAGATCACTCTTAGTATTTCATAATGCACAGACACTCTAATTTCAATAGCAAAACACTGCATGCTTCTTAAATTGAACTCAGAAGTCCATTTTCTATCTATGGGTTTATTAGAAAAAACTGCACACACATGAAAACCAGCACCTTACATCCAACCTACACAGACTACTCAGCTAGGTCTTACTTTCAAGGAGGAACTCATGTAACATGTTTTCTTCTAACAAATTAAAACATAGAATCAGCACTTACAGATTAAACCATGTGGCTCCATCTTTGAACAGATCACCTTCTAGACTGACTTACATGCCACTCATATGAAAATACCCTTTTGAAGTATTATAGCCTAGTTAATAGTTAAAACAATGATAGTTAATTGACCCTAACTTGTGCATACTTCACTACAAAAAAAAAAAAACAGCACGTGGTTAAGACCAACACATTAAACCCACAGAGCATTCAAAACACTCTATCATACATGTGTACATCTCAGATGTATGTCTATACATCACACACCTGACAAAGCACAT